AAAAACACAACTGGTCAAATGCATTGATCGATGGATGGTGAAGTGCCATCCCAAGGAATACATCTACAATACAAACTCTTGTCTCCATGGCTCAGGAAAAATCAAAGAGGAGGGAGCAGACAGATTGTAATAGCAGAGGACCAGGAAATCTGTTATAAGATTGCCTACTAGAAATCATAAGAAAGCCCATGATAACTCAACAATGTGGCTACTTAAGCAAGACCTGAACAATGGCAACACCAATTAATATGCTAATATGAGGGAGAAATCTCACAGGGCCCTACCCTTAAATGATGAACTACAGGAAACTAGGGACTGCTGAGAGACGGAGAATTAATCATTTCCAGGGGTGCGCTTCCTAATTGGTTATCCAATACCAAGTGGCCAGCTCTGAAATCGTAGATACACAAGCAACATTGAACAGTCTGAGAAGGTTGTACTTAAACATATTTATATATGTGGCAATAATAAGGCAAAAGAGACCATCAATTTGAGTGGGAGGGGGATATGTGGGAGGGGTTGGGGGAGGAAAAGGGAGAAGTGATGAAATTATATTTTAATTAAAATTTAAGAAATAATTTTAAAAGACTGGTGCATAAATACAGCAAAGACAAACCATCATTAAAGTCTAAAAAACAGTGGCGCATAGGCTTATAAGAGACAGAGAAGGGGGAAGGACAGCCGCAGACCCACTCTGTGGCCCCGACAGGCATGTGGTGGAGAAATTAGAGCGATGGTGAAGTGGGGTGGTTTGTGCACTCTGGAGAGAGGTGACGATGGTGAGGAACAGGCTGATATGGGTGGTCCATGCTGCCACCGACAGCCATGCTGATGCCCAGCTTGAGCTACAGCCGAGAGCCATGTTTGGGTCTGTGGTACCAGGAGTCTGGGATGATGTCCATGGCCTGTGGATCACCAAAGGCCATGCAGATGCCTAAGGTCTGGATCGCCACCTGAGGCCACGTTGGTGTCTAAGGGCCAAGTTGTCGCTGGGGCCATACCGATCTGTGTGGCCTGCAGAACTTCCCAGGACCATAGTAATGTCAAGGACCTAGCTGTGGCAGAGGACCATGTCTGGATCCACGGTCCTACCACAGCTGGGGTCTGGGTTGAGGCCCATGGACTGAGTTTTTATTGAGGATTGGGGAGAATGATGTGAAATTCCCAAAGAATCAATAAAAGAATTTATATTTAAAGAGAGAGAGAGAGAGAGAGAGAGAGAGAGAGAGAGAGAGAGAGAGAGAGAAGGATCTTCACATAATGTGTAGACCATGTGCCTGTGAAATTGAAGTTTGTGAAAATTGTGGAAAGAAGACATTGTTATTTTGTTTGATAATGAGCCCAGGAAAACAAAAACAAAACAAAGCAAAAAACCGTTGAAAACAAAGTTCTAACCGTTAGTTGAAATTCCAGTTGTTAGTGTTTTCCCATGTTTCTTTATGTCTCTGTATATATAGATTTATAAAACAGAATTATTGCACTTGGCAAAAGTTATTCCATTGTGTTGATCTACTATTGCTAATTTATTTATATTTATCTAATTATTAATTAATCTGATTCCCCTTTAACTGTTTGGGCTTTGATAGCAGATGCCGCCAGGGATATTCTTAGCACAAGAATACTACTTTTAAATATATACTGAATATTTCAGTGTTTAATGTCAATTTATTTATATTTTAATGCAAAATAAGTAAAGACATTTCAATGACATCAAAGCATGTTATCTAGGAATAAATACACACATGCTTATGTTAATCCCAAAGATGGGAGGATAAAACCACCAACCCAAATCATCATGGCCAAATTAATTAAAAGGTATTTTTTTATTGATGTACAAGGGCTGCCTCCCACTAAGGTGGGGTTAGAGAGGTCAGCATTGTATGTGAGGAAGACAAAGCTTTTATAGCTCAGGGGTAGGGGGTTTCCAAATGAGGGATTTGCAAGCAAGATAGGTGGGGTCACAGAAGCAGAACATAAGCATAACAAGTTAGTCCTCCCTGAAACAAAGACATTGTTTCAAGATGGGCATAACAAGGTAGTCATAGCAACAGGAAGTCATAACAAGGTAGTCATAGGTGGTCATAAAACCTTTTGAAACAGAGGCAGTGTTGCAGGATGATTCTGCATAGCATTCTGAACAAAAACATGGTTGCTATTTCCTGGATGAGGCAGCATAAAAGTATTTGCAGTTATGGTTACAGGTCGGGCATAGCCCAAGTCTTGAGAAACAGAGGTTTAATCATAAACAGGATTGAATCTAGTCTGTCTTTATTATAAGATGGCTTTTAAGCAGGCTGGTTCTTTACTTAACTGTCAAAACAATTCAAAATCTTATCAAGGCATTAAAGAAAATGGAAACAGACTTAAAAAAAACTGTACTCTTACATGGTTCTCTTTCCTATAAACTAATTCTATATATACATTTATTTACTTCATTTTTTATTTAAACATTTGCTTATTTAGCTTTTGTGATTAAAGAACCAGTCAAAATGTAAAAACTAAATTTAAAAAAGCTGAGGAGACAGCTTAGTGCTCAGTGAGTAAAGTGTTTACCAGACAAACATGAGGACCTGAGTTCAGTTCCAAGCTCTGAAGTAAAAAGCCAGGTATGTAGAAGTATATGCATGTGTGAATGAGTGTGTGTGTGTGTGTGTGTGTCTGCATGCACACACAAGCTCACTCCAGCTGGGGAGAGATTTTTATAATCCTAGCCTCCTAGTGCTGGTGACTTGGAAACAGATGGATCCCTGCAGCTCATTGACCAGATGACCTAACCGAATTTGCCAGCCCTAGGTTCTAGTGAGAATCCCTCCTTCAAAATGAAGGTGGATGTTATCTGAGGAATGATAGCCATATTGACCCCTGGCCTTGAAACACACTCATATTCATGTACATTGTACCTACATGTACATATACCTGCACACACATGAACATGCATATACACCAAAAAGAATAAAATATTGTTTATTGCTTAAAATATGATAGAAAAGTACAAACTATATTAAAATTTAAGAGACCACTTGTGGCAATAAGCCACTCCATCTGATAACATCCCCAATCCTAGTTCATTTGGGATTGGAGGGGTCATCCTTCTGTGTGGGTCTCTTCAAAGGACTAGAATTTTACTCTCCATGCCCACGTCTAGTGTCATGGTTCCTCCCCCCACCTAACCATCCACTATAGACTGGGACTCCTGAAGTTTGCTTCTGAAAGTCTCAATTCTGCCAGCCTTCCTCAGCAATATGGAGTTCCAGTCCTCCCCCAAGATCCCTTAGATGTGGGGCTCCTCATAGCTGCAGACCTGGATCCTAACTCCACTAATACAGCTAACCCCACTAGTGTCACAGACCTCTGGCTCCATTAGCCTCACAGTGTTCGAAATATGAAAGGAGTATGACCAGAAAACTGACCCGCAGGACAGTCAGGTCACCGGAGAACCGGTGCCAGAGAAGAAAAGAGAGAACACAGTTAGTCACAGCTCAAATACAGGAGAAGGTTTGGGAGACACCTCAGCCGTTTAAGGGCCGGCCACATAGGCACGAGGGCCTGAGCTTGAATCTCCAGCACGCACATAAACTCCAGATGCTACAGTGCAGGCCTGCGACCCATTAGCTGGGGGTGTGGTGGTGGTGATGTGAGCAATGGGATGATGCCCACCACAGTTGAACACCAGTGTATGAGCTCTTGTCCAGGGCTCAGTGAGAGAACCTGTCTGGAAAAAGTAACGATGTAGACTCCTTGAAGAGGGCACTCAGCCTTTGGCCTCCACTGGCATACACAACTCATGCACAAGTACAGACACCTAACCGCAGGAAGGCTCATGCGAGCGCACACAGACACCACACACTTACGAGAGGCATGTAGCTAAGTCAGTCACTAGAAAGGAGATTCAACTGTCCTGCTCATTTACAAGCGGAGGGTCATCCTGGCTGTCAAAACTTGTCAGGGAGTTGCTCTGGTCTCTGTTGACTAATTCATAGAGAAGCTCCAACTAGTTGTGACTTACCAAAGCACTGCCCACTGAAGGGCTAGAATACCTTGGTTGCTGGGCCTTTCCTATGTAGGACAGAGAAGGAGCCTGCTGGCTCAAGAAAGAAGTGGCCCTTGTCAGTCACCAGGCCCTCTTATTCCCTGGTCCTCAGCCCAAACCTAACTGGCTCCTCAGCAACTGCTCTTTCTGCCTGTGCTTACTCACCCCTGCGCTAGCGCTCCCCCCCAGCCCCTCCCCCCGCCCAGGTTGAGCTCAGTCATTCATAAACACTAGCAGTGAGCTCCTGATTCTTGGCTCCACTGGGGCGGGCGACAAGATCACCTAAACCATAGCAGAGTTTACTCCACCCTTTATCTCCGCTCATCAGCCTAGCCCTGGACACTGGACCCAGCTTGAGGACCCTTGTCCTCAGCTCTGCTGTGAGGGATTCCTCCAGATTGCTTCTTCAAGGCTGCGGCAGGGGTCAGCACCAGCAGACCACGCAGTAAGTGGGTGGAAGGGAAACGCCTCTTTTATTCTTGGCCATAATGTAGTTTAATCAGTCCAAGAAAGGTACATAAGGAAAATTCTGGAATACCCCACTTTGTCTTCCTGCACTGGCCTCAGAATCCTGAATCCTGAGTAGGACTGCTAGAAAAGCTGCGCGTGACATCGCCTTTTGGAGAGAGTAGGAGTCAGCGGGCCCTGGACCTCCGGAATGCAGGGGGGCGGGGCACCCACACCTGTAGTCTCCTGGGGTGTTGGACCTCCGGACTGGGTGCTACGGGGGCTTTAGGGATGCAAAACCCACAGCATTATGGGAGCAGCTGAGTGGGCAGAGGGAGAGCGCTGGAGAGAGAAACAAGAACAAAGCCAGCAAAACGAGTGGTTCTGGGTGGCGGCGGCGCAGTGGCGGCTGAGTCCTCTCGCACTCCTCCGCAGGTCCGCAGCCGCAGCGTCCTCCGGTCCCCGCCCTCCCGAGCGCGGTGGAGCCGGGGCTGGGACTGCGCGCGGGTGCCCGGAGGCCCGCCCCCACGGCGGCGCGGAGCCTGGAGCTGGCCGTGGTGCTGACGCGAGGCTCGAGCGCGCACTCGCTGCCTGACTCTGGCGCCGCCGCGCCCTGCGACACTCCCCAGCCCCAGCGGTAAGTGGCCGGGCCCAGAGAGGCTGCGTCGGTCCCTGCCTCATCGGTCCTCATCGGGAGCTGGGGGGACCCGGGGATGTTTGAGCGCTTTCTGCGATGGGTGGTTGAATGAAGGGGACAAGATGGGCACTCCCTCCATTCCGCAGCACTCAGCGAGGATGCTCCCTGCCTGGGAGCTAAGCGCGGTGACTGGTTTAGGAAATGGGAGAAACCCTGTCACCGCGGACGGACGGGGGGCCTGGGGAAGAAGGAGTAAGATTATAGTGGTCCATCGGTCCTCTTGGCAGGGGATCCCTCGGAGGTTGGGCCCAGGACCTCCACCCAAAGGGCCCATTGTCTCCCCAGTGTGGGAGTGGGTGGCTCTCACCGCGGATTCTATTTCTGCTTTATTACCCACCCCACCCCCATCCCAGAATATCAGAGCTTTCCCATCTCACTGGGCCTTCACCATACCAGCAACAAGGCATACTGCTACAGAGCAGACCACTGCCCCCTAGCCTCCACTACCCAACCCCAACCCCAACGAAGTCGCTGGGCAAGGTACCCCACCCAGGCCTGCTCTTCCTTAACCCCTATACCTCTTCATAGTCCACTGCCTGCTGAGACTTGTGAGGATATGGTGTGGGGGCGGGGACAGACACGGGAGAGGCATTTCAAATACCATAACTACTGGCCATGTAGTCCCTTGAGGGTTTGTTTTCTTTTTAATTTAGTTTCGCTCTATAAGATCATTTTCACACACACACACACACACACACACACACACACACACACACACACACACACGGTTACCTTCCAAGGGGAAAAGGAAATCATAGATAGCTGATTTAAAATTAGTCATTAAACAGAAAAAAGACTAGAGGGGTCACTTCATGAAGCGTTCATTTTGTAGTAAATTTGTGTCCTGATGTGCTGAACACCGGAAGCAGACAGACACCTCTGTGATCGCCTTTCCGCTGGCCTCTGGTGTAGTTTCTAATCCATCCTCCTTTTGGCCTCCTCTCCCGATTTTCCATTTTCACCTGTAGCTCCGCAAAGGTCCTTCCTGGGACCCAGGTCAGATATGGCGTCCTGACTAGTCTCCTGGCTCGATCCCATTGCTTGCTGCCTTGACCACCGCACCCACTTTTAGACATTTAAATGTCTCTTTCCCTAGTCCGTGGGGCCTTTTGCAGGGTGTGTCCACTGGCTAGAATATGCTTCTTGTATCTTTTGACTGAATGTCTTTTAGGATTTCCTTTAAACAGCACATTCCCTGGAACAGAACTGATTAAATAAAGACACTGCATGGTTCCTGATCTCATGGAGTTTGAAGGTTCATCTTAGATAAGAGGCTTAGCTTTAGTGCTGTTGAGGCCTGTCTTAGAAAATGATTAGGATAAATTACATTTGTAGAATTAAAATTTCCAGATCAGCATCCTATTTAGGAAATTAAAATGGGTGATATTTCATCAACTGGAACGAATGGTCAAGGTATTTCAAACTCATTTAAATAAGTAGTATCATGTTTAACTGACAACTAGAGGTAAAGATCTGAGCCTTAAAGACTTTCACGGAGACTGGGGAGAAAACTTGGTCAGTAAAGGACCTGCTATGGGGGCCTCTGAGATGACTCAGTGGGTGAAAGCACTCGCTGCCGAGCTGGTGACCCGAGTTGGATTCCTGGGACCCACAGTAGAAGGAGAAAACAGCCTGCTGCAGATCGTCTTCTGACCTGTACGCATGCACCACAGCACTCCAGAGCATGCACACACGCTTGTGCAAATGAGTAATACAACTTTTGTTAGAATTTCTATGCAAGTGTGAGGACCTGAGTTCAATTTCCAGGAATCACATAAACAAACAAACAAAAAACTAGTCATGGCAGCATGCACTTCAAACTCCAGCACTTAGGGAGACAGGTGGATTCTTGGGGCTCACTGTCGAGAGTCAGCCTCTCTTTCTTGGCAAGCTCTGGGTCCCCAGTGGGGTGGTTTCAAAAGCAAAGAGGATGGTTCCTGGGGAATGACACCTAAAGTTGATCCCTGATCTTCATGCCAGCAAAATATCACTCCCCAAACTACCCCCCATACAGTGTGCAATAGTGTGTACACAGTTGAAGTGCTGGAATTTAAGAAAAAAAGCTTTAAACCTTGTTCTAGACCAAGTGGTGGCTGAGCTCTGCAGACGGAGAGGGAGAAGAGCCCTTGGGGAGAGAGATGCAAATACAGCATGTGTTGGGAAAGGACCTGTTGTAATCTCTACTGACAGGCTGTTAGCCACAGGGTTACAAAACAGAGTGTGCATTTTTCCAGCTGAGAACCTTTGTACATTTAGCCTTGGCCCTCAGGCAGTGCTGGTATAGCATCTGGCTATCCGAATAAACTCCCGTCAGTTTCTGAAGCTGCTGGCCTTCCATCCACATCTCCAAAGAGACAGACTGGATTAAAGATTTTAATGTGAAAACTGACTGAAGTGACAGGTCACTGCCTAGTATTGTACTGTTATGAATTTTACCACTGGTTCTTAACAAATGAAGAGTGCAATTAATCCCAGAGCAGTCTTGGCCACATCACTATAATGGAGTCCAATCCTTTGTATTATTGTACTGGGAGGATCACACTCTAAGTTCAGAATGGAATGAACTGCTCATCTTTTTCTGATTTTAGCTCAGTTGACCACTCTGACAGCTAGAAACCAGTAAGTTTCACAGAAAGAGATCTCTGTCCAAACAGTGTAATTCTTCCAGGTGCAAAATTTTACACACAGTGAACTAATCGTAATTGTGGCCTGATGGAACTATTTCCAGGGATACATTAACTAAAATACCCACCAACATTGAAAAACATGAGCAAACTAGATATCTCATAGCGGATGTCTCCATTAAAATTACACTGCTTTCAGTTATAACTTTTCTAAATTTGGATGATTTACCCTTGCAGCCTGCAGCCTTCACCCTTATTGTGTTTTCCAAAATTCCTCATGAGAATACATTTATTAATCTATTTTAAGGGTTCTCACAAAAGATAGTTTTAGTGGGATGTGGTAGTGGACAGCCTGTAACCCCAGCACTCCATGGGCTGAGGCAGGAGCATGACAAGTTTGAGGGACAAAGTGGAGCAAGGTAGAGATCTTGAGTCATTGATTCACAGGTTCAAATCCTAGCCTTACTGCTGATGGGTCAATTTATTGGCTTTCCTGAAGCTGGATTTTAAAAACAGGTTTATTTTTAACATGTGTATGTATAGTATATGCGTGTGAGTGAAGGCACCGGAAGTGAGGGTCACCCACTCCCCCGCAAGAGCTGGGAGTTATAGACAGTTGTGAACTCTCTGGCATGGGTGCTGGGAACCAAACTCGTGGTCTCTGGCAGAGCAGCAAGTGCTCTTAGCCCCTAAGGCACTTCTCCAGCCCCAGAATTTACACTCTGTAAAGTGATGATGACAGTAGCTTGTTCCCTACCAGCTTATGTGCTAAGCTTTCTGCTTGGTTAGGTGAGTGTCACTCATGGGCAAGTACCAGGCCCTGCATAATAGACACTCTGTCGTGTGCACCAGAGTCCAACAGACCCGCAAAGGAATGTCTGGGGTGGAATGTTTTGAGTAGAAACCTGCAGGTTCGGGGTAGGAAAAGCTTGGGTACTTGCCATCTCCCAGCAAGCTGAACAGCCACCACAGTCCCTGAGGCACCGAGCCCATCCATCTCCCGATAGGCTGAAAATCCACCATGATGTCTGTGGCACTGTGCCCCGCCACCTCCCAATAGGCTGAAAAGCCAACATGGCATCTGAGGCACTGTACCCAAAGGCTGGTGTTCTGTGACTGGAGGAGCCAAGGAGGCGGAGTGCCAAGCTGAGGCTTTGCAGCTCTTCTGAACATGTAGATGACTTGTCATCTCGTTCCCCAGCCAAAGGTCCCAGATGTCTCTTGGAGGGGAGGAAATGCTACCCACAGGTGTGAGCAGGTGGCAGCTCAGTCCGCTAGCCTGTGAGTCCCTGTGATGCTGGCTTTGCCAGCAGAGCTGAAGCAGGCCCTCTGCCCACTCAGAGCTACATGCAGGGGCACTTCAGGCACCCTGACCAGCCTTGACTGTCAGCTGATGGCTGTCATGCTGCCATTTGGAGGCAGCCAGCAGGCATCTTTGGGGGTCTTGAACCTGCTGCAGCCCCCTCACAGGCTGTGGCTGGGGTGCACAGATGCAGGGTTTGACCACAGAGCCATCCCAGAGAGTGAAGGGGTCCAGCTTCCGTGTCTCTAGCCAGCCTGACAGAGGCTGACCTTCAGGCTATTGCCAAATGAAGGAGACACGGCAGGCGGAGAGCGTTCCTGCTGGGGTTGCAGGGAGAGCTCAGAAGGTTCTCCAGCCATGCTCTGGCCTTGCCATTTCTTGCTGGGGTCCTATGACGCTGCATGTTTGAGGGCAAGATGTTCTAAAGCAGATTCTTCTCTCTTAAGCCGGGTCCTGGTACAGGCCCCTGGGCTGCCAGTGTCAGGGTTCCCATCCTGCCTCTTTCTAATGTGTCTGCTGAATCTTGGTGCCTCTTCCTTTGGAAGATCCTATACCTTCACTTCCAGAACAGAGTCCCCCTTACTCCATCCAGCCACAGCCCCTTTGGTGAGCCTCTTGCCATTCCCCTCCCTTCACTGATACCGTGAGGCCAACTTCACCAGCCTCCTTCATGTCCCTGCTCCCACCCACTCACCAGCAGATGCAAGCAATGCTTCGGTGAACCTGGAACACGGCCAGGTGAGGCCCAGCCATGACAGAACAATCAAGTCACTACCGCATTCACCACCAAACAACCCGCAGACTCCCAAAACCTACTGTAGCATCTTCCCCAGTGAACTTAGCCCAGTCATCAGAAACCATCTCTGGATGGCCCCCGGGCAATATCTGTCAGTGACTGTTGCCTGTCCGTCTGCTCCGTGGTATTCTGGGACATGTCCCATGCCATGCTGTCATGAGGCATGTCCCCCGCCTCATGCTTTCCAACGTCTGTGAAATTCTTGGCTGCCTCTCACTTGAGGGCCTCTGTACAGATTGAGTCTTTACCTTTCTCAGCAGATGTCTGGTCCTCCCACGGACGGTCCGCTGCCTCAGGCCTGGGAGGCAGACTACTTAATTGAGTCCTCCATGTACTCAGAAGGCTGCTATGTTCCTCCTGAGGATGGGGAAAGGGTGCTGTGTGACTTTTCTTAGGGAGATCCGAACGAACATCTGTCACCCCAGTGAGAGCACTCAAGACAGACCCAACAAACGATTCCACTGTCGTCTAACTTAGTGAACCAGTGAGTTCACTGGAGTGACTCTCAGGAGTGGCAGTGACTCCACAGCAGTTTGTATAACTTGCAAGCAGCTCAGTTGGTCAGAGATGGCCGGCAGCTGTTACTGATTATAAAACCTGGATCGGGTATGAATCTTGTAAATTTCAGGATGCTATGGATTTTGTTTACTTCTTATTGCTTAAGGAGCCTCTCACCCTCCAACCCCGATCCCCAGGAGAGTGTTTCAGTTGGAAAGAAATAGCTACATTAACAGATAGAGGAAGCATTTCTCAGTAACTGGGGCCTGGAAATGGGAGTCTGAGTTGACCGGTCATGTTAGGGAGTGCTTGGACAACTTGAAAATGCAGGGATCGGGGCATTCCCAGACAACACTCACTCCTCATTTTGGTTCTGACCATGTTCCTTAGCCACAGGACTTAACAGATCTGGGCCCCTGTAAAAGCAGAGCTGTATGACAGGGTGATGTCCCATTTCCCTCTCCTCCTTCCCTCCCCATAGAGAACCCAGTAGGACTAAAGCACCGAGTCCAACAAGCTGTGTGAGCTGGGGTGAGCAGGCCCTTCAGAGGCCACAGACTTTACACATCTTGGATACAGCATTAATTACTTTTGTTGTTGCAGTAACAATATACCTGCCCAAAGCAACTTAAGGATGGGTCTGCTTTGGCTCGCAGTTTGGAGGGATACATACAATCCATCATGGTGGGGAAGGCCAGGCAGCAGGAGCAAGAGGCAGCGGCTAGTCACATGGTATCCACAATCAAGAAGCAGGAAGAGTTGACTGCTAACTCCTCTGCCTGTCTCCTTTTTCGTTTAGTCTGGGGCCTTAGCATGCTGCTCTCCAAAGTCATGTTGTATTTCTCCATCTCAATTCACCTAAGCTAAAAACATCTCTCAGAGACTGGGAAGTGTTTCCATGTTGACCGGGAAGCCAGCCAAGCTGACGGTAGACGGTAACCACCGCCAATACTAAGTGCCCTTTACTTTCCTCCACAGTGGCAACATGGAGCTGAGAAGGGGGAAAACCTTCATCAAATCCAGTGTGCAGGTTTCCCACGAGAAACTCATAGACCCGCCACCCCCTGCACCAGCCAAGGAGGACACAGGCCCTTGGTCACTCTCACTGGGAGGGCAGCCGAGACCCTATGGTGAGAAGAGCTCCCAAACGACTCCCTGTGTTCAAGGGTACGGCCAGTGCCCCAACAAAGAGATTCAGTCTGATCCTGAAAGCGGTCCCGTGTCCCCCTGCGGAACCACCTTCAAGTTGGTGCGGAAGAGCAAGACTCATGACAGTGTACCAGGGGCTGCCAAGGCGGCAGCCGCCACAGGACAGATGGTGGGTAGCATGAGCTTCCCAGAGACCCCTGGGGGCCAGCGTATGATCGACTATCGCCACTTTGTGCCCCAGATGCCCTTCGTGCCAGCGGTGGCTAAGAGCATCCCAAGGAAAAGGATTTCCCTGAAGAAGTCCAAGAAATGCTTTCGAAACCTGTTTCACATCCGCAGAAGCAAGACTGAGAATTTGGCCTCGCTGTCTGCCAAGGGGAAGAGCCTGGCATCTCCTGGGGTCCCATTGGGTAGCGTGGAGCAGCAAGGCAAACCCTTCCTCTCCATGGGTGAGGGGCTGGGGCTGGACAACCTATGTCAGGACCTCTCTGACAGTGAGTTTCTGCCTGACTCACCCTTTGACCTCTGCAGCGCCCTGTGCGAGGATGTGGCCTCACTCAAAAGCTTCGATTCACTGACAGGTTGTGGGGAGATCTTCGCAGACGGGAGTTCGGTGCCATCTGTGGAGCTGAAAGAGGGCCCGGAGAGCCCAGCCCATTCACCCCAGGCTCTGGATGGCAAGACTCCCCGTGGTCCCTCCCAGGATAGCATAGAACAGCTGGCATCACCTGCCCAGAATGAAGCTTCGGACTTCACCAAGTTCTGGGACAGTGTGAATCGCTCTGTGAGGCAGCAGCAGCGTGCCCTGCTGGGCCCGTGGCTGGTGAGTCCCCAGGGGACAGACGCAGACCAGCTCAGGCTAGATGCATCTGGGTTAGCTGAACTGCCCCTGCTCCCTTGCAGGGGTCCCCCGAGTGGCTCCAAAGCCAGTTCCATAGACACAGGTACCCCCAAAAGCGAACAGCCAGAATCTGTGTCCACAAGTGATGAAGGCTACTATGACTCCTTCTCACCTGGCCTGGAGGAGGACAAAAAGGAAGCTGCAAGCTCAGGGACACCTGCAGCCACTTTCCCCAGGGACAGCTACAGTGGGGATGCCCTCTATGAACTCTTCTATGACCCCAGCGAGGCCCCGGTTGGCCCGATCCTGGATGATGACCTGTGTGTGTCTGAGAGTCTTTCAGGGCCTGCCCTGGGGACCCCACTGTCTATGTGCAGCTTCCATGTGGGAGCAGAGGAGAACTTGGCCCCAGCGCCAGGCCCCGACTTGCTCAGCCAGGGCTTCCTGCAGAGCACCTGGAAGGGCAAGGAATGTCTGCTGAAGCTTTGTGACACAGAACTTGCCATAACCATGGGCATTGTCAACTGGCTGCGCCGGACCCCACCCGCCCCTGCCCCTGCCCCTGCTCCTGTTCCTGCCACTGCCCCTACCCCTGCCCTTGTCCTTAGGGAACCTGTTGCCCCACCTGACACCCATGGAGTCCTCAAGGTACTAACGGAGAACCTGGAAGGCAGGGAAGACGGGGTCTTAGGTATGGGCAAGGCCATGACGCGCTTGGCACCCAGCAGGCAGGAGCCCTGGGCACATCCGGGAACCAAAGACTTGCTTGTAAGAGAGTGCGAGGTCCAAGGGGAGCCTGCGAGGGTTATTCATGTCCCATCTAAGGATGGCTCTCTAGAGGAAGGGACACAAGACCTCTGTGAAGGCCGGTCCTCCTCCGCAGCTACCATGACAACAGGCATTTCCAGGAAAAGCAAAGCTCCAAACCCTGCCACCTGTGCTAGCTGTCAGAAGGAACTCGGAACACCTGGGAACCTGAGGCACGCTCAGGGTCCCTTAAGACCAGGGCATGGGGGAAGTACTCTTGATCCAGGGCCCATGCTTGTAGGCTGTGTGGCCCATATGGCAGCCCTGCAAATCTATCCAGACAGCTGTTCTCCCAGACAGGATAGGGGCAGTGGGCTCTTCTGGAAGCCTCAGGCTTGGGGTCCCAACACTGCTCAAAAGAAACCGACAAGTAGCAGTCCTGATGGAGCAGCTCTCTGTGGCCTTTCCTCTCCAGCCAGCCCACAGGATCAGAGATGTCATGACCTGTTCCTGGACCTGAGCCAGCTCAGGTTGGAACCCTCAAGGCTAGGTACCCAGGCCTGTGCCTCTCTAGACAGCCAACCCCAGCAGCTCAGCCCCAGGGCTCCAGAGCAGGTAGCACACAGGGGTTCAGTGGGGTCCTGAGCCACTCTGGGGCCCTGCTGCCCAGGAAAGCCTCCACAGCTATCACCTGGAAATCCTGGGGCTTTCCTTGGACAGCAAGCAGTGACAGGTCACCCCTTTGCATGTGCTACAAAATGTTGCCAGGGCCTTCTGGCCTGACACAGACTTCATTGTGGATAACCGGAAGTGGGGGCTTACAAGCCAGCCATGGCTCAGGCTCACCCGCAGGCCAGGCTTGTGTTTCTGCAGGAGCTGCATCTGTACGGCCTCAACCAGGACCAGAATCTTCATCTTTCTTCTCCCGGTGTGACGAGATTGTATTTGGGGTAGAGAGAGCAGGGCTCATGGGGGAGAGGGAGGGGGTGGGGGGAGGGAGGGGGAGGGGTTGAGATGAAGGAATCTTTGCCTGAGCCCTGGGCTAAGGACTGCTGGAAGCTGTATGTGTTTAGCTACACCTCATGCCACAGAGCAGTTAGGTCGACGGCCAGAAAGCATTCATGTTTGTAAATGAAGACTGGGGTAGCCGATCCATCTGTTGGGGGTATAAGGAAAGGTCGAGGGCTAACAGCTGAAGGGGGAGAGAACCCCATGGGGTTGACTTCACAAGGACCCAGTGGCCTCATGCAAGCCTACTCTTTACCCAGGACAGGAGGCCCCAGCACACCGCCGGTCACAACGCTTCTCTTTGGAATAACAAGGACTAGCCCGGACTTAGCAACAGGTTGGAGCCAGCCAGCATGGAGCATGCATACAGCTTTGTCAGGGGCTGGCCAGACCCTGCCTTGTCAGCATCACCAGGTCCTGTCACAGATCATCCTGTGCAAGCAATGACTTCTTTCAACTTGTTCTCCGAGGCCTTGGGTGAGAAAACACTCGCTCTCCCTCTCACCTTGCCGTTCCGCCTTGGAGCTGCGAAGGCCTTGGCTCCTGTCCCTTCCACCCTGTCAGGATTGCCATCTCTTCTCCAGGGACCCTCTGAGCGGAGCTGTGCTCACCACCCCTAACCCAAGTATTCAGAATCATGCAAAGACCTGGTGGCTGGTGTCCCCGGGAAAGGTAGGCATGTCTTCTGAATGAGCATGGGGGCGGGGACGGAGGACCCATCCTTATCGTCAAGGGTTTGATTCTACCTCAGTGAAAAGAATACAGTGGCAGCCAAAGGATGAGGATGGCTGTGAAACTTGTTGCCGGGATCATAAGGTCGACAGGTTGCTGGAGAAGATGTCACACTTCATATACACCTTCTGTGGAGAGGGCTGGGAATTCCAGGCAAGCACCGTAGTCCCATTGGTAGCACACGTTCAATGCCGGAATGCCTGATTTAGGCTAGAAAGCCTCTTGTGGCCGTTGGCGTCAACAGCTCTGTACGTGGCATGCGTGAGATGGGGGTTAAAGCGGACATCAAGGTTGTGGCTTCGTGGACCCGGACACTAAGAAGCACGGGCCGTTCACCCGGGAAGCCACATCTTCTCCTATGACCAGACTCCATCATGACATCACTGAGCCTGGCTGTGAATAAGTGACAAATAGAAGAATATTCTGCATGACCCCTGCAGCAGTCAGAGGTAAATCTTATGCTCATTTTCCGACCTGGGGAACAGGCACAGATTGTGTGGCCTTCCTTTGGACACACACACGTAGTGTGTGCAGATAATGGCACTCAGATCCCCTCCAAACCTGACTGAAATAGCTCTGCTATGCAGAAGGTTCTGGAACATCCCCCTGGTTCCCCTCAGCTGACACTTCCAGAGTCTTCACCCCTTTCTTCTTTCGGGCCACAGAGGCCTGAGCGCCCTGGGGTGCCAACCACATGTCTTCTGTAAGCAGGCTGAGAACTCAGTAAGGAGGCCACCCTACCCCAGTCACAGCCCTGAGGCTTTGTACTGTACCCGACAGAAAAAGTGCTCAGTAAATACTCTTTTGAGAGAATGCAGTGTCAAGACGTTGTTGTGTGTTGTTTTTCTGCTTTCTCTGTGACTTGGGGTCTCACATCTAGAGAGAAACAGCACTGAGGTTTAACAGGAACCTGAGGCTGGTGAGATTGTTCACTAGTTCCGAGGGCCGAGTCCATTCCCCAGCGTTCACATAAAAGCCAGACATGGCAGTGTGGGCCTGTAATCCCAACAGAGGCAATAGGAGCATTGCAGACATTCAGTGTCTGGACACACACACACACACACACACACACACACACACACACACACACACACACACACCAGGACACCAGGAGTCTGCTTGAGAACCAGACCTCTTCCCAAAGCAGAGGACAGTGTTTACTTACCGTGGCTCGTGATCCAGAAACCTGAAGTGATGGGGACAAACCATTCAGACTCAAGAGCGCACTGAATTACAGTACATGGTCCCAGCCCCCGTGTGGTCTGCAGTGGTGTAGCAACAGAGCCATAGGAAACCAGGGCCATGGCTCTGTCCCTGGGCAGGGGGTGTGTCACATGGTCCTGGCATGCCTGTGGATTTCCTTCAGGGTCTGTAGTGGATCCAGGGTCAGGGAGAATGGAGGAGGGTGGTGTGGATTCTCTCTGCACCATCTTTCTCAATATCCAAACCTCAGGATGACTTCTCTTAGGCACAACAAGTGCCCCCATAGCCAGGCTCCATGCGTCTTAGCGTGACCCACTGAGGAGGGACATTAGGGCCAGGTAAGATGCTAATCAAGTTCTGGAAGTAGAAGGAATCTGCCTCCTCCTATTCTGAACTTCCTGGTAAATCTTTGTGTGTGTGTGTGTGTGTGTGTGTGTGTGTGTGTGACTGTGTGTGGTGTTTGTGATTGTGTGTGTGAAGGCGTATGTGCCCATGTGTGCCCATGTGGAAATCAGGGATAGACTCAGCTCAGACCATGACTGTCCTGGTCTACCACCCTGCACTTATTCATATTAGGCAGGGTCCCTCACAGAACCTGGAGCTAGGCTGACAACAGTGGTCCTTCTGTCTCTGCTTGCCGTGGCTCATACAGGAGCACGTGGCCACACCCAGATTTCTATGTGGGTGCTGGGGATTCAAACTCAAGTTTGTGCAGCCTAGGCCTCTCTCTGGCCATGTCTGTCCATCTCCTTCATGCGCGGCTGTGGATTTCATCCAGCCTTGTGAGGGCAATCTGTAAGCCAAGGGAAGAGGCCTCAGGGGGACCTGCCCTACTGATGCTTGACCTTAGACCTCCAGCTCTCAGAACAGAGGAGAAGTGAATTCCTGTTGCTTAAGTGCCCACTCTGTGGTGTTTTGTTGCTGCAGCCTGTGACAATACAACTATCCCGAGTTTGTCCAAGACGCACATGTGAAAGCATGAGAAATGACTATGTCCTCTAGAAAGCATGGGTAGTTAAGCGAATTGCCCTCTTGTTGCTCCCCTTACGGGCCCTTCCTTGTGTGTCCATTCCCCAGCACCCATCCTTACCCAGTCTCATCTTTGCAGGAGGCAGGAAACAGAGGCATCTATGCTGCTTACACGTGAAGACTAAAGAGTGAGATGGAGGATCTCACTTTTAGGATGAGAATATAAAAACACAAAATTATTATTAGTTCAAGACGGAGGCAGGGGAAAAAAGCGAAGTGTTTTTTTTTCCCTAGGAACATTTACACCATTTCTATTCAGAAGAAAGGAATTATAACAAGAACGCTGAAGTGGTAGTCGGGAGGCTAATCATAGGCTGAGAGTGAGCAAATTCAACTTCCAAAGCCAAGCATGGGTGCTAATTTGGAGCAAGCTGGTGCCGTGTCCTGGCTGGTACATTTGCCTCTGTCAGGTCTAAAGAACGTGAACTCTAGGCCAAGGGACATGGATAGAGATTGCCATGACCACCAACTCCCTTGTTCACTGTAGAACATCACTCAACCAGTTGGTTGGATCATTCCAACCAACCCACCAACACTGATTGTAGGCTGAGATAGCTCACTAACAAGCAGATTGAGAGAAGTTCCAGCAAACTGCGTCCTGATGTGGGGGCTACAGTGAGCAGCCAGGGAAGGGTGGCCAGGGTCAATAAGCTATGAGAGACTAACACACTGCAGGCAAGCCCAGCTACAGACACCGTTAGGTTCAGGCACATGACTGTCAGCCCTAGAGGAATACAGAAAAACCAGGCTAATCACGGAATTGTGGGAAAGGCAAAGGAATATGAAATCTTCCAGGAACATGCCCAGTCTTTCTCCCAGCCGTCAAAGAATGCAAGATAGAACCAGGGGCCATGCTCTGGAACGCTCATCTTCTGGCCAGATCCACAGTGGTCCCACCTTACGGATACTGTGAATTAGCGAGTTGAGTATAGCTCATCTGAGTTACTGTATGTGTTTCCCTTGTAAAAGGAACTCAGGGCTGGGTTATGGCTTGGCAAGCAAAGTTATTGCTGTGCAAATATGAGGACCTGAGTTCAATGCCCCAAAACTCATGAGAAAAAGCCAGACCTAGAAGTAGTCTTGTAATCCCAATACTGGAGAAGAAGGGACAGGAAGAACTTGTCCTCAGGGAAAGAGATTTCACACACTTCTGACCACTTGATACACAGGCAACTGCAGGAAAGACTAAAGCCCAGAAAACTGTGGATCAGTCGTGGGCGGGACCACACCTTGACCAAGACTGCTTAGCTATCTCTTGTTCTCTACTAAAACCTAGGCCTCATATCAGATCCCCTGAAGATGGAGGGTCACTATATGTCTTTTTTCTCTTACTGGTGTGCTCATATTCAACACACTCTCTTTCCTGCTTTCCACTATGACTTGTTTATTTGACCAGCTTGTTAGGGCAGCCAAAGCATGGGCTGTGACCCTGAGAACTCTGGGAACACTCTCACAAGGCATTCTGGCCCCCACAGTCCATGCCATTGCATCCCGACAAGCTCTCTGCTCCGCCAGTCTTCTCTTCTTTCTCCCCTCCCTTCCCAGCACCTCTGCTTCAAGACTTTCTCATGCTGTGCCTCAGACCCTGGGTGAAGTCTCTGACAAGAGTTTTTGCCTCCAACAAAATATTCCAAGCCTGTTGTCCACTGGTCTGGAGCCCCTGAGTCAAGCTCTAGGCAGCCTCAGTGGATTTGAAGGCTCAGGTGAGCTGGCTGCCTGAGGAGAGCTGAGTCAGAAATCAGCTTCACCTGGGCCTCCTGCACGGGGCGTTAGCAGAGGAACCCAGATGAACAAGAGACCTTGATTTAACAGACTCCCCGAGACTCTCTTTGGTGTGATTCAGATTCACCAGCTTCATGTGGTTTTTGTATTTTTTTTAAACAGGTCGGAAAAAAATGAAACAGATGACTTCATGACATATGTGAAGCTACAAACTGAATTGGGTGCCCTATAATACATTTTGATCAGAACCCAGATGCAGCAGTTCAGTAATAATATGCACGGATGCTTTATTGTTGTAAAGCTAGAGTCAAGCACTTACAAAAAGAGGCCATATGGCCTGAGAAAACAAAAATATTTACTTTCTGGCACTTCACAGAAAAAGCTGGCTCTTCCTAACACACAGGCTAAATCAAAACCCTGTGTATTAAATAGGATGGTGAAGCTATAGATAGACAAGCTGCCAACACTTTGCCTGGCTCAGAGAAGTGTTCAGCGATGGCCTCCCTGTGCAGCTCATTCTGCCAGTGGCCCATAGCTCAACTTGCTCTCTCCACAGCCCTCCCTCAACCCATCCCTCATTGCTCTCTCCACAGCCCTCCCTCAACCCATCCCTCATTGCTCTCTCCACAGCCCTCCCTCAACCCATCCCTCATTTGGGCCTGTTCCTTCCCATTTTCACTACATGTCCGGTCCTAAACGTTCTTGGTTCCCTACTTCAAGCCCAACCCCAACTTCAGTGCCAATAGAATTTTTACTTATAACTGTTCATAGCTCATCACACCCTGCTTCACACGATTGTCATGTATTGTCATGTGAACATAACTACATGGCAAAATGCCCCTCGACTAATGACAAATAGGACCGAGTTGAAATGGTGCACAGACCATGGATGCTGGGTGTCTTGGTAGGTAGGTAGATGGGTGGGTGGATGGATGGATGGATGGATGGATGGATGGATGGATGGATGGGTGGATAGATATGTGAATGCATGGGTGAATGATGGATAGGTGGGTAGAGAGGGATGAATTGATGGATGAAGAGATGGATAGATGTATAAGTAGATGGATGGGTTGGTAGATATGTAGGTAGATTCAGATGATACATGAATAGTAATAGAGAAATAAAAGCTGATTGCTTTGACTATACTCATGAGAAGCATAACCAGAGAAGTCCAGTCAAATTCTCAGAGATAACTTATGGCATTTTGCCCATACATCTTTTTCTCCCTTTATTAATATGGGGAGTGACTTCCTTGTTTTATGTTCACCCCAAGCTTCTTTAAGTAGACTCCTCTAACTCCTGACGTCATCAGCCTGGTTGATAATGAGAGCTGAATGAGGATGACCCAGCATCAGGGTGACAGGGAAGATGTAGAAAATAATTCATATCATAGTTAACTTGCCCTGCTCTACAGATACCCCCACCTATCTGAGCATCAGACATCTGATTATAAAGGATGGCGAGAGCCAGGCATTGGTGGCCTACGCCTTTAATCCCAGCACTCGGGAGGCAGAGGCAGGCAGATCTCTGTGAGTTTGAGGCCAGCCTGGTCTACAGAGAGAGTTCCAGGACAGCCTCCAAAACAATACAGAGAAACCCTGTCTCGGAAAAAAAAAAAAAGGATGGTGAGAGACATTGGTTGCCATAGAAACCATCACAAAAAAGAAAGAGCTGGTACTGGGGGGCAAGGAGAGCACCTATGGATTCTGGGCAGGCACATCAATCACATCAAGAAACAAAAGCACACGATTTGCTGAACCTAGCTATTCCTGGAGCCGTAGAGCGGGGCCAACTTTCTGATCTTCCCCATACACTGGGTTTGGTCTGAGAACAGAGCATGTGAAACTTTAGAATAGAGGATGACAAGGAT